CTTTTTCTATAATCTGTTCCTGATCACAAAGGTTCAGCACACGTACTCCTGAGATGTCGGCGGTTCTGACCAAGGTTCGAGCCACTTTCCATGGAAGGTCATTGTCTACCCTTTCCACGAGTACACAACGAAGAGTTTGCCCAGGATTCCGTGGAAGTCTAACCGGCACAATCGTTTCCGATCTCGGCGGAAGAACAATCTTCTTAAGGCTGTACACATTCCCTGGTAACGCCCCTTCCAAGAAAAGTTCCTCTTATCCACATTTCAAAACACCTTGCTTAACGTCGATCTCACAACAATTCTTCCTCATAAAGTCTAGGCCCAGGATGCAGTCGTCCATTATATCAACCACGATGACATTATGCAGGTAGATCATGTTGCCTAGCTTCAACTCCATCTCCTTCTCTCCACGGACGTGTATGCGCTGACCGGTGGCTGTTACCAAATTAATGCGTTCTCGGTTGTATGCGAAGTCCCCAAGGAACCGACTTATAAGTTGGGAACTGACAACCGTGCGAGAGGCTCCAGTGTCTATGGTCAGTTTACACGGCGTTCCGTTGACTTCGCCCTTGATGATTAGGCTGTTCCCATCATGGGTTTGTGAGATCGAAATCCTTGAGGCTCTTTTAACATCAGCCAGCACCCGCCCCGCAGTCCTGGCTTTTACTCGTTTCCCTGCTGCTGCTGGGCGGTGCTATTATCCGCACTACCCTCTCGAGATCGATCACCTTCCCTTTCTACAGTTCGTTTAGGGTAGCTGGATCGGAGATGGCCTCTTTCCCCACAGCCGTAGCACCTAGGGCTGTAGCCCTTATTGCGGTCCTGAACTGTAGCTGCTGCAACCTCCCTGACGCGGTGGGAACGATGATCCTGCCGCACGGCTTCCAACTCCAGTGCATGGGTCAAGGCGTCCTTAAGCGTCTCGTGGTGCCCGAGCCTCACAGCAGCTCTGACTTCAAGGTCGCGGATGCCGTCGATGAATGTCTGCACCAGGTTCCCTACAATGAGCGCAGGTACAGACTGGTACGCTTTTCGAACCAGCTTCTCCAACTCAAGGGCCCACTGCTGCAGGTTTTCGTTACTGCGTTGCACGCGATCTTTGAGCTGCGCACGAAAGACGTGTTCCAGGTGAGCATCGCCATATCTCGCCTCCAATGCCTCAAGGAGCTGCTCGTAAGTCGCTTCCTTACCGAGAGCTTCCAGAACAGTTAAGGCCTGGTCGCGTAGGCCTAGGGTGAGAGCAGTCATGGCCTGACTTTTATTCCAGCCGTTCGCTTTCATGACAGCCTCGAACTGGATTTTGTAGGCCGACCAGGAAGAACTCCCGTCGAACGGCGGCACTTTGAATCCACGTAGCGAAGGTGTTGTAGCTACCACGGGAACTGTAATTCCATCCCCAAGTTTGAGGTCGTCCAGCGTTTTCTTCACATCAGCCATCACGTTGTCAACCCGATTGTTCACTCGGTCGATTCGGGTTTCAGCTTCCGACAGGCGGTTGTCATATTCAGCAACCCTATCCTTCACCTCCTTTATCTCTTTCCCGAAGGTAGCGTGAAGGTCCTTCCTGAGGAGCATCTGTTCTTCCATACCGCGCTGCAGCTGCTCTTCCAACCGACGGGCCTGTTCCTCCTGTCGGCGAGCCTGTTCCTGCAGCATCATCATCAGAGCACCTAAGTCAGGTGCTGTAGATGCAGGAGCTGATGACCGACCGGCCTCCGTGGTCAGCAGCTGGTCCTCCGATGTTTACGGCGTTGTATTACCAAATCGTCTCTGGTCCGTCTCCAGCTGGCGTTGACTTCGAGTACGGATACCCTCCATGTCGTCCTTTGGTAAAATCGGCATGATTTAATCCCACTTCTGACACCAATTGTTACGAGCTTGGGGTTCGAGACAATTAAAAACTGCCGATTGAATTACCAAAATTAACACTTTAATTACACAACACTAATTACAATCTAAAATCACACTAATAATAAAACACAGTTCGCCGTTATTTCGCTTCGAAGTATTCTCTTGTATCGCCAATTCAATACTGCCCTGGTCGTGGTCCATACCGGCCTTATATAGGGCCTCAGACAGTTTCCAGAACCTTCCACTGTAGCGACATCTAGAATGTTCGAGTACATATCGGTCCCGAAATTTCTGGAAGGATCTCGACTCTCCTAGTTCTGCTACTCGACACTAGAGGGCGCTAGTGTAACTAGTGTTGCCATGTACAAGACATTAATAGTGGCGCGTAACACTACTTTTGCTACCATGCAGTATATTGTTCGTTCGGCGTATCTTTATAAAAGTATTAACAAATATCTAAATATATATGGTAAAACATACCTTGAATGTAAAAGGTTTTTGCGAAAATGGTTAGAAAGGAAAAACTATGAGCAAACAGAAGCACAGAAGCTTTACTAGACAAAGTAAAATAGAATATCCACATTATAGTAGAGTGTATTTCATTGATAGAGCGGTGTCCCCGGTGCGGTGTCACAGGCTCCATAGCTTAAAAGGGGACTCCTGTCACCATTTAGTTTAAATTGTTTGTTTTAAGCAATAAAAAATATAATAATAATTATTATTATTATAGTAACATTAGCTTTAGAATGTTAGGGTGCGACTGGCTCAAGAACCACCCCAAAGTTGCGAACATTTATTTATTATATAAAAAAGGCATAAAGTGATGTTGATTCTGTTAAAAATTCTGTTTTGGTTAAAAAACACGCTATCAGCGCCGCTAGAGGTGAAAAACTATTTGACGATATGACCATATTATCATGAAATAGCAATGTTGTGTTTAGTTAGTTATTAATATCGTTAAACGATCTCTATTCATTGATTTAGCTAAACTATATCATGGCAACAAACAGTTATAAATATCGTGTAAAGACACCATTTCACGAAATAATAATTTAATGAGAATTTTGCAATAATTGCAGGCAGACTAGTTTTAATCAATTTACATACAGATATAGTATCAAACGTATGAAAATTGATGTTTTTAGTTCAAAAAAATAACAATTTTCGTACCTTTGATAGATGTCACTATTATCTATTTAAATTATTACACTTTCAAAATAAATAAAAATTAAACGTTAGGATTTTTAAATAATTTTATAAATCTAATTATTTAAACATATAAATGTAAGTTATTTATTTTATTTCATTTATTAGCTACTAAACGCAAAGTATACGCTTTTTTAATTTGATGATAAATGGCGCCGTTTTGATAATTAAAATGTATATCGTTAGCGGAGTTTCAAATTGTTATGCCAAGGTTAAAACTAATTGTATACTTTATTTACAAATATAATATTTATTTGAAAAAAAAATACCCGTCATCCCGCCTTTAACTGACATAATCATATATAATAGAAAATTAACATCTAAAAGAAGAAAATACTTAAACTTCTTTTTTAAGTTTCGTAATCGGATAAAAAGTAGCCTATAAGTTGCCCCGGGTTACTAACTACCTACATATAAAATTTTATGGAAATCGGTCCAGTAGTTTTGGATGAATCGCGAATACACAGACAGACAGACAAAAATTGTAAAAACCACTAATTTGGCTTCAGTACCCTTTATTTAGTCCCCCTGGACTTGTTTTTCCAAGAGTATATTAGAATTACAGACACGACTTTTCTACAGATTTATTATATGTATAGATGTTGTAGTGATTTTTTTGCAGCAAACTGCTATAAAGTACTTTAGCGTTGTATAAATAGAATGTTACTTTAAATGGAATGTTTTTTGGATGTAACTAGCGATTAAATTTGTCCAAGGCAAATGTCATATTCACTAGCTTAAGATTTCAACTCATAAGTATTGTTTGATATAAGTGGTAATAGAGACGCAATATTCTTTTGTTCGGTAACCAAAATTAGTCGTTTTAACAAAGGGGAATCGCAGAGGTTATATCGGACTTTTCACTAGCTAAAGCTGGCCTTTATTTTTTATGGTTGTTGGCGGTCGCACCAAACCGGATGTTTTCACTTTTTAAATCTTTGTTAATTGAGCAACCGTCCGTCGTGATGTCTCCCTCGAAGTTCGCAAGTCGCGCGGCGCAGACGCGTCATATACGCGGGTAAAACCGCGGGGCACAGCTAGTCTAAAATAAATATCGAATATATCGGTATTTTTTACCCAAGCCTACATGCATAAGATTATCTACTATGATGCCGTTTGCCTCTTGTTTCATTTCATATTGGCAGAGGAAGAAGAAAATAAAATTCGAAGAAAAAGAAGATTCTGGATTCATAATATTAATTTAAAAAGGCAATTCTATGGAGAATATGAAGGGGATATACTTTATTTAAAGACTTATTAGATGCTGATGAACGATATTTTTTAGATATTTGCATTTAACACACAAGAAATTTCAAGAATTGCTACATATATTAAAACCATATCTTTCTATGGAAAACTAAAGATTTAGAAGGCCAATTGAAACAGAGAAAAGACTTATATGTTTGAGATAAGTATTTTTATTGACAATTAAGTAATCAGGTATAATTGGGTTTTTGAATTAAATTTAAATATTTTTTTTTGTAGTTCAGTATTTAAATAATTTATCGCTAAGTATACATATTGATAATTGATGTAAAAAAATATTCCAAATTATGTATAATTAATTACGAATGAATTAAAAGTTATAAAAATACAAAAATTATCATGTAAGTCGAAACCACCGGTTATAGTGGAAAGTCCACTAAGTTGGCAACATTAGACTACACTGAGTATCAGCACGCGTCGAACGCGCCGCGTTATATGACGTCATCAGCATTCGTCCTTCGATATCGTATACCTACCGCATTTTATAAAATTCGGCGCGTACGGTGCGGGTGTAATGTGCGAGGTTTCATATGATTTCATACAACGAATTCTAAAATTGGGCGCGTACGCGCGTACGGTGCGGACAAATGTGCAATACTATAACATAATATGGGTCGGAAGGAACCAGACGTAAAAACAACTGTAACGCAATAGATATCATTTATTTACAATGATATTTACAAATCTTCTGTACTCCATTTATAAGCTTCTTCCTCCAGCGCTTTCTTCTTGCTCTGCTGCTCGAAATATTTCTTCTCGTATCCGTTGGATCGGTCCACGCCGTCCCAGCGGTAACCTGGGCGAATGTTGAACCGATTTGGAGGGAAATTGCCTTTGTATTTTGGCTTCTCTGAAAAATAAAATACAATGAGTTAAAATAAAAAGGTGAAATTTATTTTCTCACATTTTCCTGTCAAAAAGTGATAAGTCCCATTTAAAATATGTATTTTTTTTTAATAGAATTAGGGTGACAAACGAGAGTCTACCTGATGGTAAGTGTTTGCTGTAGCCCATAGACATCTACATTTTTTTTTATAGGAGAGGGGGCAAACGAGCATGCGGCTCACCTGATGGTAAGTGACTACCGCCGCCCATGAACAACTGCAACACCAGGGGAATCGCAGATGCGTTGCCGGCCTTTTAAAAAGGAGTACGCTCTTTTCTTGAAGGTCCCTAAGTCGTATCGGTCCGGAAAAATCGCTGATGGTAATCGATTCCACAAGGAGGTCGTGCGAGGAAGAAAACATCTTCTAAATCGCACAGTGGTGGACCGCCAATCATCCAGATGGTGTGGATGGTATCGGGAGTTCTGCCGCGATGTGCGTTCGTGAAATTTGGCGGCTGGGATTAATCCGAACAATTCCTCAGAGCACTCCCCATGGTAGATGCGAAAGAAAATGCAAAGGGATGCAACATCTCTTCGCAGTGCCAATGAATCGAGCCGATCGGAAAGGGCTCGGTCGTCGACAATTCGAGCCGCTCTGCGTTGGATGCAGTCAAGTGGAAGGAGCTGGCACTGGGGAGCCCCTGCCCAGAGATGGGAACAGTATTCCATGTGAGGCCGAACTTGCGCCTTGTAAAGTAGCAGGCGGTGTGCCGGCATGAAATACTGTCCCGCTCTGCTGAGCACGCCAAGCTTTTTAGAGGCCAATTTGGCCTTCCCTTCCAAGTTTTTTTTTTTTTTTTTTTATAAGAGAGGGGGCAAACGAGCATGCGGCTCACCTGATGGTAAGTGACTACCGCCGCCCATGAACAACCGCAACACCAGGGGAATTGCAGATGCGTTGCCGGCCTTTTAAAAAGGAGTAGGCTCTTTTCTTGAAGGTCCCTAAGTCGTATCGGTCCGGAAAAATCCCTGGTGGTAAACTATTCCACAAGGAAGTTGTGCGAGGAAGAAAACATCTTCTAAATCGCACAGTGGTGGACCGCCAATCATCCAGATGGTGTGGATGGTATCGGGAGTTCTGCCGCGATGTGCGTTCGTGAAATTTGGCGGCTGGGATTAATCCGAACAATTCCTCAGAGCACTCCCCATGGTAGATGCGAAAGAAAATGCAAAGAGATGCAACATCTCTTCGCAGTGCCAATGAATCGAGCCGATCGGAAAGGGCTCGGTCGTCGACGATTCGAGCCGCTCTGCGCTGGATGCGGTCAAGTGGAAGGAGCTGGCACTGGGGAGCCCCTGCCCAGAGATGGGAACAGTATTCCATGTGAGGCCGAACCTGCGCCTTGTAAAGTTGCAGGCGGTGTGCCGGCATGAAATACTGTCCCGCTCTGCTGAGCACGCCAAGCTTTTTAGAGGCCAATTTGGCCTTCTCTTCCAAGTGATCACGAAACTGCACGTCACTCGATATGTCGACTCCGAGGATACCGATACTGGCTGAGGCAAGAAGGGGAGTGCCTTGAAACTGAGGAGATAGACAAAGGGGTTCTTTTTAGCGGTAAACGCGCAAACTTGTGTCTTCTGAGGATTAAACTGGACTAGATTTAGTCGCCCCCAATCCGAGACTTTGTCCAGCAAAGACTCGACTTCAGACACAAGTTTGTTCCGGTACTCGGCGACGTTTTCCCGAGAAATATTGGCCCGGCCGGTGTATAGAGCATCACCAGTGCTGTCATCCGCATAGCAATGAATGTTACCAGTTAGCAACATATCATTGATATGCAGAAGAAACAGCGTTGGTGATAGCACACAGCCTTGTGGAACACCAGCGTTAATAGGCTTGTAGTCAGAACATGCACCGTCTACAACGACCTTGATGCTCCGATCTGCAAGAAAGCTGGTGATCCAATTGCACAATTTCTCGGGAAGCCCATAGGAAGGCAGCTTCGAAAGAAGCGCTTTGTGCCAAACCCGATCAAAGGCCTTCGCAATGTCCAGACTAACGGCCAACGCCTCCCCGTTGGACTCTACTGCCTTCGCCCATCTATGGGTCAGGTAGACCAGAAGATCACCAGCTGATCGACACCGACGAAAACCGTATTGGCGGTCACTAATCAGCTGGTGATCCTCAAGGTACCGGATGAGCTGGCAGTTAATAATGGATTCCATTATTTTGGAGAACAAGGAGGTAATCGCGATAGGCCTATAGTTGGACGGGTCTGAGCGGTCGCCTTTTTTAGGGATCGGGTGGACAAAAGCTGTCTTCCATGAATTCGGGACTACGCCTTGGGAGTAGGAGTACCGGAAAAGACGCGTTAGGACCGGTGCCAACTCCGGAGCACACGTCCTCAGCACAATTGGGGGGATTCCGTCAGGCCCACTCGACTTCTGGATGTCCAGGGAGAGAAGTGCTTTGCGAACTGAGCGCTGTGAGAATAGCACATCCGGCATGGAGCACTCACACCGCGGGATAGTCGGCGGTATTTTCCCCCCGTCATCAAGAGTCGAGTTGGACGCAAAAAGGGAGCCTAAAAGGTCGGCTTTGTCTTTTGCGTCTTGGGCCAGTGAGTCGTCCTCCCTGTGCAGAGATGGTAGTGATGGCTTACAGAAATTCCCTTGGACAGCCTTGGCGAGAGACCAGAATGCACGGGTTCCCGAAGGAAGGCGAACTAGTTTCTCGCCAATTCTGCCTATGTGCTCTGACTTTGCCTTGGCAATAACTCTTTTGAAGGACCTGGAGGCGAAGTTATACTTCTTTTTAAGTGTGCTGGTGTTTACATCCCGAGTCACCGAAGCCGCAGCCCAGGCTTGATAACACTCCTGCTTACTGCGCAATGCAGTCTTACAGGAGCGACCAAACCAAGGCTGAGATCTGCCTCCGATGGGTACCACAGATGATGGAATAAATAGTTCCATTCCCTGTAGCACCACATCAGTGACAGAGTCAGCAACAGCACTGGGATCATCCGGCGAGAAGCAAACCCGCCCCCATGGGTAGGATGCAAAGAAAGACCGCATTCCGTCCCAATCCGCCGACCTGTAATGCCAAACACGGCGGCAACCTGCAGAACGCAACCGCGAAGGGAGCGTGAGTGGCACCATACTCCGGATCAGACAATGGTCCGAAGAGCCGAGAGGGGCATCGACGGAAACCTGATATCCGTCCGGATGAGAGGTCAGCAGAAGGTCCAACAGGGAAGGTGTATGATCCTCCACATCTGGAATCCGCGTAGGCGAAGTAACCAGTTGTGTCAGACCATATGCCAAGGCAAAGTCATAAACAGATCTCCCCGCATGATCGGTTAAACGTGAACCGAGCCATTCGGCATGGTGGGCGTTAAAATCGCCAAGGATCACGATCTCTGCGGATGGGACCTGTTGTAGCAAGGAATCTGTAGCCATTTGGACGTGGTCGATGAGTCGGTCTGTTTCGGCATTACCGCTATGGGACCTATAGAGGCACCCGTAGACGCGCGGATGGTCGTCGCTGTCTACGCGTAGCCAAAGGATGGACAGGTCCGAACCTTCAAGACTGCCGAGGCGTCGAGAACAGATGTCCTCTCTAACATACACGCAAACTCCAGCCCGAGGCACAAAGGAGTGCTCCAATTTGTACCCCGGGCAGGAGAGATACGAAATATCAGTAGGAGAGGAAACCTGCGTCTCGGTCAAAAAGAGCAAGGCCGGCTTCGCCGTCTCGAGATGGTAGTGGACGGCGTTTAGGTTAGAGTGAAGTCCCCTGATGTTGCAGAAATTCACGGATAGCGTGGCAGGGGTCGCCTTGGTATTGTTGCTCAGCTTGCCCCGAGCAGTTTTGTTTTTGAGCGGAATTTTGCCCCCCCCAGAATACGCGGGGCAGCCTGAGCACCCACGCTCAGGATTGGAATAACATGGTCGTGGATGCTCAGCGAGGGATTCTCCAGGGGTACTGGTACCCTCCTGGGGTAGTCTATTGTCTAATTCCGCTACCATGTTGATGGGGGGGGGGAATTGGGGGGGGAATTGGGAAAGTGACCACGAAACTGCACGTCACTCGATATGTCGACTCCGAGGATACCGATACTGGCTGAGGCAAGAAGGGGAGTGCCTTGAAACTGAGGAGATACGACAAAGGGGTTCTTTTTAGCGGTAAACGCGCAAACTTGTGTCTTCTGAGGATTAAATTGGACTAGATTTAGTCGCCCCCAATCCGAGACTTTGTTCAGCAAAGATTCGACTTCAGACACAAGTTTGTTCCGGTACTCAGCGACGTTTTCCCGAGAAATATTGGCACGGCCGGTGTATAGAGCATCACCAGTGCTGTCATCCGCATAGCAATGAATGTTACCAGTTAGCAACATATCATTAATATGCAGAAGAAACAGCGTTGGTGATAGCACACAGCCTTGTGGAACACCAGCGTTAATAGGCTTGTAGTCAGAGCATGCACCGTCTACAACGACCTTGATGCTCCGATCTACAAGGAAGCTGGTGATCCAATTGCACAATTTCTCGGGAAGCCCATAGGAAGGGAGCTTCGAAAGAAGCGCTTTGTGCCAAACCAGATCGAATTAAAATGCAGATGCGTTGTCGACCGTGAGGAAGGTCTCCGGTTCTGTACACTCACCATACGAAACACAGCAACATTAAGCTGCTATTTTACGCTGGTATTCTGTGAGAGCGTGGTCTTTCCCCGGTCGAGCCGATCCATTCGTGCTACAACTATTCTATTAATATAGCTGCAGCATGGCTTTACCACGTAAAAAATGTATGTGTATTAACGACCTTATTGTACACGTAGGAAAAAAAACTTGAAATCTGCCAACGTTTTCCGTTCACCTTCCGTTTTGACGATATTCGATAACAGTATTTGACTCGCAAAGGAGATGTATGATATTGGGTTGTTGACATCGTTCGTAACAGTTATACAAAAATATGTAGGTAATATAACGATAAACTATAAGCACAATTAAATGGTTTTTATTTCTGTAGTGTATGGGACAATCATAAAAACATTTTTTAAAACAGAAAAACGAAAAGTAATGCTTTTATCATGGCAAAAACAAAACGTTTTTAAATATTTTTATATATTCTGTCTATGGCATTAGATAATAAAGGCTATTTTTTGTAATAAATAGCCTTCAGTATAAAAAAAAAACTCATAATATTGAAACATTGAGACGAATCTGTAGAGGTTAATACTGAATAAAAGAAATCTGTTTAGAAAATTAATTGAATAGGCTACGTTATTTAACTAAACAAAATATTTGAATAATATCGGACACGATTGAATAGGCTCTATGGTCGTTGATCATTACCTGTTTCAAAGGAGACTTCGCTTCGTAACTTTGAGGTTAAACTTGTCATGCGATTTGGCATTGTGGTTGTATTTGTGAATATATTTCGTGTTTTTATTTTCGTGAGTTAATTTAACTTGACCCTTGGCTTTTCTCTCTATTTACAGGACAGTAAGTTCTCTCTATTTACAGGGCCCAACGCCCACATAATGACAATAATGTGTTACTTGGGTTTTGAGAGGAATAGAACAAACAATGTACAGACTCAGGCTGCTTTTCTAGATGACATTTTATTAATAATTGCATAAAATAATTAAACAATTAGAAAAGTTTGAGTTGTATTTTATTTAATAATAACTAAAAAACGGCATCCTTTTGTGTTCTTTTCAATTTATTGAAACAACTTATCCCAAGAACGAGTGATTTTACTACATAACCTACAAATAATAAACCAAAATAATAACATAACCCCAAGTTTTACAAAAATATAATTTTTTGTCGTAAGTAGCAAATGTTTAATTCTTTAAAATAAGGTATATTTAAACTTTGTTCACACCTGGCCCAAGCTTGTATGGAACCAAGTTCATCTCCTTTAAGGTTGATTTACACTTCGACAAGTACAGTAGCGAGTTAACTTGCGACCCGACGAGTTAAGTAAATATCTCGTTTGAACAGCAATTAGTGAGTTAAGTAACAAATTAACAATTAAGTTGAACGGGATAGTTGGTCGGTCTATATTACGGCGAGTCAAATTCGAAGTGTTGCCCTCCCGCGCGTCGCCCGCCACCCGCAACTAAGCTCGCCGCTCGTGTGAACGAGCGAGTTTAGTTCAGTGCTTAGGTTGACAGGACGCAACGTGTTCGCGTTCGACCCTCAAAATATAAAATTCTTTTTATACTAAGCTCGCCACTTAAGACATTTCAACGCTACTGTCCACTTAACCGTTTACTGTCAACTGCCCTGTAACTAAACTAGCTACTGTACTTGTCGAAGTGTAAATCCGCCCTTACGCACACCAAAAAAATACGAATATAAGGACCTACTACACTACCATACTAATCTAATCTCTAATCAGGCGATTAGATTGAGAACGATCTGGTGAGAGGCATTTCTTACCAGAGATTTATATAGATTTATACAGAGAGTGTCAATGGATGCGGGTGGATCAGGGCTGTCTTGTGTCATTCCTTGGAGGAAGCCTTTCCTGGACATAACCAGCAGTGAAGTTAAAGGGCTATAATAATGATAAATAAAAACTAACCAATTATTGGCATATAATTAATAATTGCGTAATTACTTCGAAATAAGGATATTCAGAGAGTAGAGAGTGGTAGCGCAGATGGTTTGATCCCTGCCGGCACCAATGAAATTGTTAATTGCAATTTTAAGTGCTGATTTACCACATGCTCGGCGGCGAAGGAAAACATCGCGAGGAAACCGGCATGTCCGGGAAATAAGAAAAAAAATATTTCAAAGACATTAGAAGTTCGCCAACACGCATATTGGCAGCGCGGCGGACATTTTCTTGCCCTAAACCCTCTCAGAAATGAGAGCCCTGTGCCTAGCAGTGGGACGTAAATAGGCTGCAACTTTACTTTTTTAACGTTAAAGATATTCGTTGTTGAACCACAGTAATCAACACATTCCAACGGATCAGTAAGCTGAAGTGTCATTGGGCCGTCTATATAGCTCCAAGAACCGACAACCGAGAGGGAAGAAAGATTTTCGAGGTGAAGTACCAGTAAGCGCATGATAGTTGCCCTCTTTCTCTTATAAAAAAGCAAAGTGTAGAGCGGTTCTCTACTAAATGGAGTGACGACCTGATAGAAGATGCAGGAAATCGATGGATGCAGGTGACTCAGGTGCATTGAGGCATTCCTGTGAAGAGCCTTATAATTAGCAGTGTACTTGTTGCCTATAATAATAACAATTACAAAAACCACGCACGTAACTAATTGTATGGCCTACAGATAATTTCCGCAGGTCCGGATACTTACCCATGTGCAAGTTATGTAACGGGGAACTTTACAAACAATATAACTCACAAGTTCGACTGTATTTAACGTTTCCAGTTCTGAACTATGAAGTTACAAGTATCATCGGAAAATTAGTTTAAAATCGCTTGCATAATTTGTAGCAGACAAACAAACGAATAGACAGAGAAGAGTGCTATAATATGCTTAAGTGTGGCTTTACAACAATAAAACTCACTTACCAGGTCCTAATTCTCCCCTCTCAATCTTCTTCTCTCTCATATACTGCAGCATTGGGTCGCCATCTCTCTCCACTTGCTTGAGCCTCTCTTCCAAGTCCCGATCGTCTCTAAGTCTTGCAAGCGGTTTGGATGCTTCGTGTAAATATTCTTGAATTCTGGCTTCTTGAGCCTCTATTTGTTTAATCCTGGAAATTTTTGAAATTGATACCACATAAGCGAGTTTCTAATCCAAAGCTCGGATATCTTTTGGCACGAATTACAAAATCGTTTTTAGTGCCCAGAAAATAGTATATAATAATACACGTCACTTCACCACAAACAATAGCCCCTGGACCCTGGCTCCTCTACTTGAAGGAGTTTCATAATCGCCGTAATTGGCGGTTGGACTGTATGTTGGTCGCAGTTCTAGATGTTTCATCATACTTTAGAATTAAAAATTCCCATCAACGTATCTAGATTTTTTAGCAGATTTGGCAGAGATTGTTCTTCAATCACCTGATTGTTGCTAAAATGTATTCTTAACGGCGTATATGAGAACGCTATACGAGAGATATTGTGAAAGTTATGCTCTCTCTCTCTCTCTCTCTCTTTCTGTTGACAGTTCACTGCTGGACCTTGAGCTTCTGTTATATTTAATAGGCAAGCTTAAATGATATTATTTAAATATTGACTTACCCTTTGTTCCATTTTTTATATTTCTCATCCAATTCTTTCTGTCTGTCTGCTTTTTCTTTCTTCTTCTGTCTTTCTTCAGATGTTTCTCTTTTAGCTGGAAAACCCCAACACAAGCAAACATTGTTACAAATATCATGATTGTTTATTATAACATTTTATTATTAAAAGCCTGTAACTTGTTTATAAAAGCCTGTAAATTGTATGTGGTAGAGCCATGCTGCAGCTATATTAGTAGTATAGTTGTAGCACGAATGGGTCGGCTCGATCGGGGAAGGACCACGCTCTCACAGAATACTAGCGTAAAATGGCAGCTTAACACTGCTGTGTTTCGTATGGTGAGTGTTGAGAACCGGAGACCCTTTTTGCTGGAGAAGAGGCATTCCATCTTAGTCCTCACGGGTGACAACGCATCTGCATTTTGATTCTTTATTGAGGATAGATGTAGATGTCTATGGGCCACAGCAACCACTTACCATCAGGTGGACTGTGTGCTCGTTTGTCACTCTATCCTATAAAAAAAAAATTGTTACCATAGAGTGCAGGTAAATAAGAATTCACTACCCCATATAATATTTCGTGGCTGTCGTAAGAGGCGAATGAGGGAAACTGACACAGGCGATGGACAACAGCATCTTCCTCATAACTACAAAAAATAAAAAATTAATAGTGGTTGGCAACAGCTTGCCAAGCATTGCAGCTATGCCAATATTCCCCGTATGACGCAAACTATGGGGGTGGCTTCAGTAGTGGACTTTTGATAGGCTTTCACGAACAAATTAATGGATATATTTGATACAAGCTGTTCCCCGCGACTTCGCCCGCGTGTAATTTAGGGTTTTAATTATATTGCTCAGAACCCTAATTCTTTTTCTCAGATATAAGTAGCCTAAGTTACTCCTTAGAACATCAACTATCTGCCAGTGAAAGTTCCGTCAAAATCGGTCCAGCCATTTCGGAGATTAGCCGGAACAAACAGACAGACAGACAGTCTATATCACCTGAGGATGCCTCGTGTAGAGGCGAAACACGTGTCGTATTATTGTCAGTGGTGTGTCTTGCCTAGTGTAGTGGTGTTGGGAGTAGCGGTGCTGGGATTAGTGGTGACGGGGATAGTGCACGCAATTGAGGGAGGGCGGGAGGTGCTCTTCATACTAGGTAAGACACATCATTCTATTTTATAACGCGGATATTTGCAAAGTAAATTTTTGTAAAAGCTTTTATATTATTTTATGGTCAGCAGTGGATTAAAATATTGACAGTTCCCTAGGCTAACATCTCATCGGCACCCCTCTAGTGGCCATGTATTATATATTATAGCTACAAAATTGTGTAAATAAACTATATTATTATTTAATTGCTAAGCGAGTTTTATATATGATTTATAGTGCTCGTTTCTTTATTTAAGAGGAATAAGGGCGATGTAGGTATAATCATATACGAATAGACGAATTTTTTTCGCTTAAAAACCTCCGCGCGCCATTTTTTAACCTAGGTGCGTGCCTAGTTTGCTTAAGGGTAATCCACCACTGTTTATGGTGGTATTTTGTTTTATAGGATCGGGTGACAAACGAGCACACAGTCCACTTGATGGTAAGTGTTTGCTGTGACCAATAGACACCTACATCTATCCTCATTAAAGAATCGAAATGCAGATGCGTTCTCACCCGTGAGGAGTAAGATGGAATGCCTCTTTACCAGTAAAAAGGGTCTCCGGTTCTCTACACTCACCATACGAAACACAGCAGTGTTAAGCTGCTCTTTTGCACTGGTATTCTGTGAGAGCATGGTCCTTCCCTGGTCGAGCCGACCCATTCGCGCTACAACTATACTACTAATATAGCTGCAGCATGGCTCTACCATGTTAATAAAATCTGTGATAAATCCGTGTAGTAGCGGCGTAAAGTAATCCATCACTCCATTTCGTCCTGCAGGTGTCGTAAGAGCACCAGCAATGGAGAGCAGTGTCAAAGGTGCGAGATGTCTGGTACTGCAATCTTCAATTTGAATACCAAGCATCTGGAATAATGGCACATCCTACCTGCAACTGAGGGATCTACGGGCTGCTTGTGACAGAACACGATGAAGTTTTTATTTATGCGTTGGCATTTCCCTATTCAAAGAAACTAACGTGGCAGATTTTTTTACATTTACAAAAATTCACATTTAAATTGAATTTTGAATATTTTAATTTATCAGAAATTGACTTGCCACTTACCATTTCTAGACACAGCCTTTGCGTTCCTTCCAGAAACATCATCTGTCAATTTACTAAATGCCTCTTCTTCCCTTCTTTTAAAGGCTTCATTCTCTTGCCTCAACTGTTCAGCATCTTGTAATCCAGCTTTCTTTCCTTCAAGAGTTTTTGCCATTTTTTTATTAGACGGGGGTGGACTGTCACTGCTTCTTTTATAGTTTCTTTCTTCTCCCCTTTTACTGCTGTGCGATTTTCTTGGTGGAGATAAATCTGAATCACTATCATGTTTTCTCTTGTTCTTTTCTGGTGACCTGCGTGACTTTTTTTGTCTGTCATATTTATCCTTTTTGGACATTTCAATTTCGGGAGATCTATATTTGTCTGGATATCTATGATCGCTTCTACTTCTGTCATTATTTGTGTATTTGGCGTTATATTTTTCATGCGTCCCTTGCCTTACAGGTGATTGTTTTCTTTTCCTGGGAGGGGACAAATCGGAATCTGGAGTTCTGTTTCTCTTTCTTTCAGGTGAATCTTTCCTGGATTTCCTTGGGGGTGATAAATCCGAGTCATAGTTTTTGCTTCGGTCAACTTTCTTTGACTTTCTTGGTGGTGATATATCGGAACTAGAGGATCTTTTTAATGCTTTGTTTCTTCTGTTTGGCGATTGTTCTCTTTTTTGCTTTTTTCTTCTTGGCGATGTATCAGAATTGGGTGACCTCTGTCTTGACTTTTTATCATTGTCATTATCGAGTTGTTCCCAGCGACTGGGTTTCCTTTGTTTACTCTTGGACTCCCGAGTTTGGTTCTTTCTTCGAATAGATAAATCAGAATCATAGTTTTCATTGTTCGATTTAGATTTTTTTGGTGGAGAGCCGGTATCTCTTCTTCTAGGTGGACTAAAATCGCTATCGCTATTATTCTGAGTCCTTTTTACTGCTTTGGTAGCCTTGTTATGGTCATCTTTCGTGTTTTTTCTTGGCGGTGATGGATCAGAATCATTCTTTTTCTCGTCTTCTGAATCGCTGTACATTTTACCAAAAATCAGTTCATTCTCTTTTTCGACTTCTTTGATGTCTTTTTTTATTTCTTCTATTTGTAGCTTGCTATTAAACCCATCATCCTAGGCAAAAATTAATTTAAATTTATTTAAAGGAAAAAAAAAACAAGTTTAGAAAAACTAAAAAGGACAAAATAATTTCCATATAGCTTCTGAAGCTGAAGCTCATTTAAAAGTTTTGGTTTTCGTTTGGTTTTTACTTTCTATTAAAAGTTTGATTATTTTACCCGTATGAGTGTTATAAGTACTAATAACAAGTTCTAGGTAACAACTAGAATGTCTACTTATGGGATTTTTATCCCTGAAATATAGACTAATAAAAAAATAATTAATTAAATTGGTTGAGCTGTTTCCAAGAAACAATACATACTACGTGTTGAATATAGAATCTTCATATTTTTGAAATAAGTTAATAAAGATAGGACGCCCTAGACGAAGGTTTATCGACCAAATCGGCGATACATTAAAAATGGGCCAGATTAGGAGTACCCTTAACCGACGAGCGTGTATGCGTAGATATATGGATGTAAAAGAGGCGAGAGAGGTGTGTCAGGATCGTGCCAAATGGAAGTCCGTAGTCTCTGCCTACCCCTCTGGGTGACAGGCGTGAGTGTTTATGTACGTATGTATATGTAAAAATAGCTATTTTTTAACAATTTTTTCTGTAATTTTTTTTGTATTTTAAGCCTAAATATAAAATGGCAGCTAAATACAATATAAACATTTATCTCAAATTAATAAAAACAGCAGTTTTCATTGTTTACCTTGATCATAAAAATAGTAGAAAATGGCACTGTCCTCTAAGTTTAAGTTAGTGTTAAAGGCTACAAAATGTAATGTAGAATGAATAATTTTACTTCATTTGGAAATATGCCATAGAATATGGTAATCACAGTCAATCCTACTAACCGTATTGATGGCGTTTTTCAAAGAAATAAGGGTGATAAATATGGTCCATGTATCCACGTAATGAAACAAATTAGGCGGCTCCGTGGCTTAGCAATCAGTTGTTGCACTGGGGTCCGCGGGTTCAAATCCCGCACGGAACAAGTATTTGTATGGCCTACAAATAATTGTTCCGGGTCTGGATGTTTGTCCTTGTGCAATTTATGTTTGTAAACTGCCTCCACGACACAGGAGAAAATCCTAGTGTGGGGGTAACGTATTTAAAAAAAACAAACAAATTAAATGGTAAGCAGATGCTGTGGCCTATAGACACTTTCATCCAGCCCTCAAATATGAACCAAAATGCACTTTTATATGTGGTAGAGCCATGCTGCAGCTATATTATTAGTATAGTTGTAGCACGAATGGGTCGGCTCAACCTGGGAAGGACCACGCTTGTACAGAATACCAGCGTAAAGTGGCAGCTTGATACTGCTGTTTCGTATGGTGAGTGTAGAGAACCAGAGACCCATTTTACTGGAAAAGAGGCATTCCATCTTAATCTGGACGACGCATCTGCATTTTTATTCTTTATTGAGGATAAATGTAGATGTCTATGGGTCACAGCAATCACTTACCATCAGGTGGACTATGTGGTCGTTTGTCACCCTATCCTATAACAAAAGACCTAAAGACTAAGTTAGAGTGTCCCATTATCAGTAAAAGCTGTCTCTGGTTCTTGTAATTCATCATATGAAACAGAGGCATGCTGTTATTTTATGCTGGTATTCCGTGAGAGATTCATAGTTATTTTTCAGTTGAGCTAACCAATTTGTGCTGTTGCTATAATACACTTGACATGTGGTTTTACCACATTATTAACTTGTTTATTAGTAGTAATCATTTCCATGTTATTATTAGTGGCTGAGGGTATGTTCAAACACAAGAGTTACTCATTCATCCTAACCCATTAACATGTGATTCTGATGTAACAGTATGACTGACACAGATAATTAAAAGACTTAAAATCCAATCTCTTGACTCAAAGTTGTTTTGACCATAGACCTACATTTAATTAAGTAAGTAAAACACTCGCACCTGTCACCCAGAGGGGTAGGCGGAGACTATGGACTTCCATTTGGCACGATCCTGACACACCTCTCTAGCTTCCTCCACATCCATATACCTACGCATACACGCTCATCTGGTAAAGGTACTCTTAATTTGGCCCATTTTCAATATATCACCAATTTGGTTGATAAACTTTCGCCTAGGGTGTCCCTTCCCGATTCTGCCGTTCACCTTAGTATTATTATCTCTATTTAATTTACTCAAGTACTTAATACACACATACCTGATTAACTACCCTCCATTTGGAGCTAGTTTTGAATTGTTCTAGTTTCTTTATCTCTTCCGGTCTTTCATCAATAATACCAGCTATCTGTGGGGCATCCTCTCCTTCGTCAAGAATGTCCAATTCATCACCATCTAGTGGCCGCAATTTTGATAAGTCGATGTCATCATCTATTATCTTAAATCTGTTTGTAAATTAAAGTAAAATATAAAAGTAAAAGAAAAATAGTACATAAATCAAAATCTAAGTTAAATGAATAGACTATATAATATTTATTATAAAATCAACCAGAGAAGAGTATTTATATATAAAATTAGAATCATTAACTTTACAGAATAACATTATTATAGCGAGGGGTATGGATTATGAGCACTTATTACATTTTAGTACAGTAACTATGCAAGTTTTTAGTAATACAACAATGTAATTTTTTTTATTATTTCTATTTATTAAGGCTTTTATCCTACAAGGATAGGTCAGCCTTATCGAAACATAATTTGTTCCTGTTACACAAATGCTATTTAGAAAGGGGAAATCATTGTGGTAAGAATATGGAAATGAATAATTTTGCTACCGCTGAGTGTGGCTCCGCAAGTATACTCAAAAACCAACCCGTTTCACACAAATTCATATTAAATTTTTGCACCGGATTTTCCCTTTTCCTTTGATATTTGACACATTTTGCTAGCATATGTTGGACATCTGCTATAGCGTGACAGATATCGCAATTCGGCGAGTCTGCTTTTTCCATCAAAAGTACATTGTAATTTAAAAAAAAAATAAACATGCCTAAACTAAGCCCCACTACAATCGTCTAACACTCAAAAGTTTGATGTTTCCTATTTTATGAACCTTGTTGATGATATTTAGGTTCATATTTTAATAAAAATATTAAAGTGTAGTGGCGGTATAAGACGACCTACAAGCACTACATGGCTGGCATATCATCCAGTTGTCGTAAGAGCTGATAGAGGGAAACTTAAAACAGCAGAAAATTATAAGGTACCTACTATCATATATTTACAAAATAATTCATTTTGTGAAAGTATTAAGTTTATTTCTTAATAATTATTAAATTATAATGGGTTTAAGAGTAAAATTAGAGGGCTAATAAATATTTAAGTTGAATTAATGAAAAAATCTTACCCCTTCCCTTTAACAACTTTTTTCTTCTTCTTCTTTTTATCTCCTGATGGTCCACCTAGATACTTTTGCAAGTAAACTTTTTGGTCTATCGCTTTAGACATTTTTAGTTAAAATTTTATTTTAGAAATTAATATAATTCACAAAATAAACACAAACGATACCCACTAGGGTATATGTTAAAAAATAAATGACACTGACAAATGACAATTGAGCAATTGACAAACTGACATTTGACTTTCAGTATATAAAAGTAGGTACTCTGTGCCACTGACTTAGGCCGGCCCATACATACGGAATTCCGTTTCGAGATTCCGTTTCGATATTCCGATTCGGGTTTCCGAACGCAGTAAGTCCATATAAAATCTATGGCCCGTCACACACGTACGTTAGTTTTCCGTTCGAAATTTTGCGGGCAAAACGGGATTCCGTATGTGTGTGGCCGAAACATTCGGAATTCCGAACGCAGCAAGTCCATATAAAATCTATGACCCGCCACACACGTATGGTAGTTTTCCGTTCGATGTTTTGCGGGCAAAACGGGATTCCGTATGTGCGTGGCCGACCCGTTCGGAATTCCGAAACGGAATTTCGAAACGGAATTCCGTATGTATGTGGCCGGCCTTAGAAGTATATGGACTGGGCATACCTACAGAATTAGCGTGACAACCTAAACACATCTGGCGCATAAAATGGCCGCCTTTTATAGGGTTGTGACTCAGCAATATGGGCAGCTGATATCGATAGTTTTACTAATATGAGTTTGTTTTATTTCATATAATTATAGAAATTAAATCCATAGCCTAATTGCGTAACACACCTAAAATGGCAAACCATATCAATTCGACAGTTTAACAACATGCATTGTGTGGTTTTTGTTGTCGAGCAAACGAATTTTTCAATCACATGAAGCAATGGATATTGTTGGGTTGTTAGATTAGTTTTGGATTGCTATCCCTTAAATTTCGCTTGAGCTGCTTCACGAGGCTTCACCGCATATGTACACTTACGCAATGCACACTGCTACAGATTTTTTTGTGTTAGGTATACAGTCAAACAATGAGTTAAGTATGCAGGCAGCTAACTTGCAACTTGTTTTAAACAATGTTCTGAGACTCTTTCACTTAGCAAGTGCTTACTCAAGTTTTGAAGTTATACTTCTTTTGAGAAAAATGATGAGAGTGAATTTTTTACAACTTCAATTAGTACTTAATTGTCTGTCAATTGTTAAGTTTATTTTAGCAGTGGTAGAGCCACGCGGCAGCTTTTGCTATCGCACGGATGGGCCGGCTCGAACCGGGGTGGTACCACGACCTCACAGAAAACCAGCGTGAAGTAGAGGTTTACCTCTGCGTTTCGCTTGGTGAGTGCAGGTGGCCGGAGGCCCTTTTTACTGGAAATGAGGCATTCCATCTTAGTCCTCACGGGTGACAACGCGTCTACATTTTGATTTGTAATAGAGGATAGATGTAGATGTCTATGGGCCGCAGCAACCACTTACCATCAGGTGGACTGTGTGCTCATTTGTCACCCTAATCCTATAAAAAAAAAGTTTTCGTGAGAACTGATTATTTTTATTATTATTATTTTATTTATTATTATTTTAGTTATGTTACGCTAACGAAGTATAACTTCTTACGTGCGTACATAAGTACACAAACACACACGTTTTGTTTTATATTATTGTACAGTAAACAAATGTATGGAGACGGGATGGAGGTCCTTGATTACATATTGGTAATCCCATATTATAGTATTTTTTAATATAAAATAATAATGATTAGTTGAGTAGTGCCGTGTAGTGGCGGTTAAGAATATCCACTACCCCATATCTTCCCGTGGGTGTCGTAAAAGGCGACAAAGGGAAACAGGCAGGAGATGGGCAGCAGCATCTTCCTGGTAACGGCAAAATACAATAAAAAAACTGCGGTTGCCAACCCGCTCGCCAAGCGCGGCAACTATGGCAATATACCCCCCATGATGAAAGTTACGAAGAGACGGCCCCCAGTCCCCGGCGGCCCCGCTATTCCTGGCTACGGTGGCGACCATGGTAACGGCGGGGCAGGGGGTGCTAAGAATCTCCGGTGGAGGTTCGGATGCTACCTACAACGACTCGACCTGGCAACATACAACGCACGCACCCTGAGGACTGACGAGAAGATTGTGGAGCTGGAAGAAGAGATAGACAAGTTACGCTGGCATATTATAGGATTATCCGAAGTCCGAAGAGAGGGGGAGGACACGGTAATCCTCGAATCCGGCAACTTGCTCTATTACCGGGAGGGCGACCATCTGTCCCAAGGAGGTGTCGGATTTATCGTCCACAAGTCTCTCGTTAACAACGTTGTAAAGATTGAGAGTGTGTCGACGAGGGTTGCGTACCTTATACTCAGAATCACCAAACGGTATTCGCTGAAGGTCATATCGGTTTACGCACCAACCTCGGCACACCCCGATCAGGAGTTGGAGGAAATGTATGAGGATATCTCTAGAGCCATGCATTCCTCCAAAACCCAATATACGGTGTTAATGGGAGACTTCAATGCAAAACTAGGTACAAGAGAGAACGGTGAGCTGAAAGTGGGGAAATTTGGAATAGGGCAACGGAACCCAAGGGGCCAGCAGCTGGCCGACTTCATGGAGAAAGAGGGACTCTTTATGATGAATTCTTTCTTCCAGAAGCGGCCCCACAGGAAGTGGACCTGGTCGAACCCCGACGGTTCAACAAAAAATGAGATTGACTTCATTATGACGACCAGACGACAATTGTTCAGTGATGTCTCAGTGATCGCGAGGGTGAAAACCGGCAGCGATCACTGAATGGTTAGAGGCACACTGAACCTAAACGTTAAGTTGGAGAGGTCTCCTCTAATGAAGTCAACGCTCCGTCCCCCTCGTGCTCTAATCCAAAGTCCCGAAACCTTTCAGCTCGAGTTACAAAACCGTTTTCAGTGCCTAGAAGACTGCAATGAAGTGGCCGATTTGAATGACAAGCTCGTGGAAACTGTCCATGCGGTCGGAGCTAAGTTCTGCAAGACCCGCCGTAGAAGAACACAAAAACTCTCCGATCACACTCTTAATCTCATGGCTGTTAGACGGGAGATGAAGCTACATTCTTCAACAGATTTGACAGCATACAGGCAACTGAACAGACAAATCTTTAAATGCATGCGGCGGGACTTACGCAACTTCAATACAGCTCGTATTGAAGAAGCGATCGAGCGGAACCAAGGCTCCAAAGTCTTTGCCAGAGATCTGTCTGCCAGAAAGAGCCAACTGTCAAAGCTGAAGACCGAATGTGGCAGCATCGTTTCCGGGGCACCTGAGATTTTGAGTGAGATTGAGAGGTTCTATGGGCAGCTGTACACGTCATCGTTGGAGCCGCACGCAAGTGTGAGTAACGATCCAAGAGCGAGTCTTATCCGACATTATTCCGATGATATCCCGGACGTCAGTTTGAGCGAGATTAGAATGGCTCTCCAGCACCTTAAAAACGACAAGACCCCAGGCGAGGATGGAATTACAGCCGAGCTTCTGAAAGCGGATGGATAACCGGTACTTGAAGTCCTTCAGAAGCTCTTTAATTCCGTCCTCCATGGTGGCATTACACCGGAGGCGTGGAGCAGAAGTGCGGTGGTCTTGTTCTTCAAGAAAGGCGACAACGCTCTCTTGAAGAACTACAGACCGATTTCCCTTCTGAGCCGCGTCTACGTGCTGTTTTCGAGAGTCATTATGAATCGTCTCGCGCGCAGACTTGACGACTTCCAGCCTCCCGAAAGGGCCGGTTTCCGAAAAGGCTTTAGCACCATAGACCACATACATACCCTTCGGCAAATTGTACAGAAGTCCGAGGAGTACAATTTGCCACTATGTCTGGCGTATGTGGACTATGAGAAAGCCTTTGATTCCGTCGAAATTTGGGCGGTGCTGCAGTCCCTTCAGCGATGCCAAGTGGACTGTCGGTATATCGAATTGTTGAAGTGCTTGTACAGTAGGGCTACGATGGCTATCCGAGTACAGAACCAGAGTACGAAACCTATCAAATTGCAGAGAGGTGTAAGACAGGGTGACGTCATATCCTCGAAACTCTTTACCGCTGCATTGGAAGATGTTTTCAAGCTTCTGGACTGGAAAGGATACGGTATCAACATCAATGGCGAGTACATCACTCACCTTCGATTTGCCGACGATATAGTCCTTATGGCAGAATCGCTGGAGGACCTAAGCACTATGCTCAATGACCTCAATAGTGTTGCCCAACGGATAGGTCTTAAGATGGACGGATTCAACTCGGTTGGGCAGCGTTCGGGAAATTACGGCACATCTTCTCGTCAGGTATACCTCAAAACTTGAAAACGAGACTGTACACCCAGTGCGTGTTGCCAGTGATGACATACGGAACTGAGACGTGGTCCTTCACTGCTGGCCGGATGAGGAAGCTCAAGGTCGCTCAGCGAGCTATGGAGAGGGCTATGCTCGGAGTTTCTCTGCGTGATAAACTCAGAAATGAGGATATCCGCAGTAGAACCAGAGTGACCGACATAGCCCAACGGATTAGTAAGCTGAAGTGGCAATGGGCCGGCCATATAGCTCGAAGAACCGACAACCGACGGGGAAGAAAGGTTTTAGAGTGACAGCCTCGTACCGGCAGGCGAAGTGTAGGGCGTCCCCCCACTAGATGGAGTGACCACCTGGTAAGATATGCAGGAAGTCGATGGATGCAGGTGGCTCAGGACCGTGCTTTGTGGCATTCGTTGGGGGAGGCCTATGTTCAGCAGTGAACTTGTGAAGGGCTGTAATGATGATGATGATTAGTGGAGTAGAAATTAAATAAACTGTTTTTAAAATCAATACTTATTTATTATTAATTGGTATATAGGAACGTTCTGCACATAATTTATAAGTATAAGTAAAGTAAAAATATAATTATTTTCACAGGTATATAAATTTTGTTCATTTAAAATTCGAAAATCTGGCATGATCATGAAACGGTGGCTGAAATATGATATTTAGGATTTATAAACTATTATTGTTATTATTATTATATATTCATTTCTGAACAAAATTAATTTATGAAAATAATTTCTATCGACACCATAGATAA